AAACGGTCATGAAAAACCAGATCACATCCTAAAAACAAACAACAGTCACTAAGACATACATCAGGAGCCGACTCGATGGAGTTTAATGTCATACCCAGGGAAGGGCACAGATCTGTTTTGAAAGGTGGAGGGGGAGGGCATTTTGTGAATCGACACCCACCTCAGCCCCACCATGGTTGGAGCTGAGGTGAGAAAATTTGAGGAAATAGTACCTCTAGATGGCCAGAAATGACACATTTAGTAAAATTCATCATCATCACATCACCATTAGTCAAAATGAAGCGCCAGAAACAATTCTCATGATCTTTTATCAGGGATTTTAGACAACCATAGAGATCTTATTAATGTGTGTGTGATATACCACAGAAAACAAAGCTTAAAAACATTGTCTTTGAGTATGTACTTTACATAGGGCTACTTCAAAAACGTGATTTCACAACCACCTCAGCCCCACCATGGCTGGGGCTAAGGTGAGAAAATTTGAGGAAATAATACCTCTCGAGATGGCCGGAAATGACACTTTTATATAGTAAAATTCATCATCATCACATCACTATTATAGTCAAAATGAAACGCCAACAAATTTCTCATGAACTTCTATTAGGGATATACTTAATATCAGGACAACTTAGGCCTATCTATAGCTTACTAAGCTTTAACTATATATACTATATTATGATCAACAAATCACAACTTTTTTCGCATTTAACACAATTTTTTTCACTTTTTATTGCTATTAATATTATTATCAATTATTACTCTCGTCATCATCATCATTGTTATTATTATTATTACTAGTAGTAGTAGTATTACTAAAAATAAACAAAAATGTAAAGAAACTTGGAAAAGGATAAAAATAAAATTGAACCACAGTATCGCATTTCTATCTTAAAAGCCCTGGCCTGAAATTTATGGATTTAAGATTTTTTTAAATCACGCTTAGGCCTATGTGTTCCATTCAACTCAATTCAATTCAATTCAATTCAATTCAATTAACATTTATTCAATTAATTAATAAATACATCAAGTGATAAATAAGTGGACAACATTAAAATTAATTAATTAGGATCAAAAATAGAAGCGAAGCTTGTCTCAACATTGACCCCGACAAAACAAAAAGTAAAATCTAATAATAAACGCATATCAAGTAGACTTACATTTTATATACATATATACCATATACACACATATATACATATATATATATATATATGTATATATATATATATATACATATATACACATACATACACACACATACATATAAATACACACACACGCGAACACACACGATATTATAAGTAAACACTAGAAAAAACTGAAAATCATTGCACAGTATATGCTCTAGGGCACTATTACGTAATCGCACGGTAGCACCTAATTTTATACCTCCATGATTGTACATACTGTGGACAGTGTGAGCAAAAGAAATAAACATAGCCACTAACATTTTTCTCTTGATTTGTGGATACAGTACTTTCTTCGTGTTCAATATTTTGTTCTAATTTCTTACTTCAATATACTGTACCCCTGAAACATGTAGACTAAAATATTATCTTTAATGTAATTGTAGAACATCAGTCTCGTCAGGGTCCCAACGCTTACGTAAGAACTGTAAATCTACAAGACTGTAAACAAAACGTGTATAAATTCCGTCGATAATGACACACGTCTGCGATTTATAAAATTATAGTTTAATTAATCTATGACCTTGGGCCAGAGCTCTGTAATTCAACAAGCACATAAGATTTGAATTCAATCAATTCTGCCGCGAGGTATTCATCTACGCGAGCACACCATCACTACTTCACTTAAAAGGATATGATCGAGTGC